AATTTTTTAGGACTTGTTCGGGAATAAAAAGAATCTATATTTTAATCAGAGAGAAAAAAGGAAAAACTACAGAAGAAAGATTCAAAGAACTTTTCGATAACCCTGTAAGAACCTTAATGTTTTTCGATTAAACAGTTAAAAAATAAAAAATAAACTATGAATTCAAAATTATTATTACGTTTTGTGAATAAATTATTTTATAATGTTATTAATTTAATATATAACACTGATTATGTGTTTTAATTTTAGTTTTGTAAAATATGAGGAATCATTTCAGGTATTTGATTTAATGAAAAAAGAAAAACCGAACTTTTTAGAAAAGATCACTGCAGTTATCGGCGATTGCGCTTTGCCAAACATGGGAATCGAAGAAAAATACATCAACATTATTAAAGACGAAGTAATTTGTTACATTAATATTATGTATGTATTATTGTTAATAATTGGATTTTATAAAATTATATTTTAACTTAGGTAAACATAGTAATACACTCTGCTGCTACTGTACGATTTGACGAACATTTGAGAATAGCTGTCAATATAAATATAATTGCCTTACAAGATTTATTGAAAATTAGCCAAAAAATTAAAAACTTGAAAGTAAAAGGAACATCTATTAATTTAAATTTTATGTGCTCGTATTATTATCATGGTTTTTTGATTTAGGCTTTTGTTCACATTTCAACTGCTTATTCTAATTGTGCTGGAAGGGAAGTTGTGGAAGAGATTTTTTACAAAACACCTATAACTGGAGACAAGTTATTACAAGTTGTTAACGGTCTAGACGATGATTACATCACTAAAATTACACCTTCGTAAGTAGTTTACATTGAGAACAATAATTTATAGAAATAATACAATGTGTTCTATATTACGATATTTTCATAAAGAAGAATATATTAGAACTAGGAAATAATAAACACTTGTATATGAATATTATGTAACATATACCTAATTATAAATTGTAATAATAGAATACATAATACGAACATTATGTACATATATTATATATAGGTCCGTTTGGTCTTTTCAAGACGCGTTTGGGATAATATAATATCATTATATTGTGATGATGATAACTTAAAAAATAAACATTTAAAAGAGTTGACTTTTTTTCTAATAAATATGCAAAAAATGGTTAATTTGTTTAAAATGATACTTCGTGAACACTATATTACGAATTACTATTTGTGTTGTACCTATATTATGTATTTATGTTATACATATAACACGTAATTGAATAGATTTTCTAATGTTCMCATATTAGTATACTACTATATTTTAGGTTATCTAATTTAGGTATACCTATAAAATACTTTTTAGTAATTAAAACAGTGATAATAGAGCCTATGAATCTTTTATCCATACAGGTTACTAGGAAAATGGCCAAATACATACGCAATGACTAAAGCAATTGCCGAGGGCGAAATATTGACTTATGGCAAAGGATTACCAATCGGAATTATTAGACCGTCAATGAGTAAGTAAAATTTTGAAATGTGCATACAATGTTATTGGATTTTAAATTTTATTTTAGGTATATTTTTATCTGCATGTTCTAATAAGTAATAACTATAATAACAGTAATAACCTAACCAATAATTATCAATGTAAATTTCGTATTTAAAATCTTAGTTATCGCCACCGCTAACGAACCTGTTACTGGATGGATTAACAATTTCTATGGACCAACTGGAGTTGTGGCAGCCACTGGCCTTGGTCTCATGAGATGCATGCATGCAGATTCATCTAAAACAGCGGATATCGTGCCTGGAGATTACGTCAGCAATGCCGTGTTGGCTTGTGCTTGGGATATTCACAACCAATGGTAATTATAATAATCCATACAACTCTATAAACTGTTATGTTGCATGAGTGACTAGTTTCACAGTGACAACAATTATCTAAATATTCAATAATCATCAAAAATCATAGAATATGACAAATATGTATATAGAAAAAACACGGATAACTTGCTCTGTTGTATACTGTACCTACCATTGATTATAGTATAGGCCACTGTAATGGATGTATAAAATTTGAATTCAATTATAGTTAAAAAGTATATTTATGTTTCACACTGGGTCGTCTATAGCAGATCGCAATAGTGGTAATTGGTAAAATACAGACGCAATTTACCGATTCCACTGCACTATGTGTATGTGGTGTAATTCTTACACGAGACCTAGCAGGTAAAAAAAAA